TCGCGTAGGTGGCAGTCACCAGAAATATTACGACCGAAGATAACAACAACTCCATCGATTAAAATGCTTCTCTCTCTCTCTCTCTCTCTCTCTCTCTCTCTCTCTCTCTCTCTCTCTCTCTCTCTAATACGACTCCCTTAATATTATTATTATTTTCAGTCCAATAACAATGCCTTGATAATATATACGATACACGTAATTTTACTTTAATCAAATAAGATCGAAATCTGTTCTAACGAAACGAGTCTTTCTATTTTTTTTTTTTTTTAATTTCTTTACATTTTTTCATTATACTTTATTAATTTTTTTTTTTTTATATCGATAACAGTTATTGCTTCTCGCTTAAGCATCGAGCTTATAAAATCTTGTTTATCACCATTGTTCCGGTTCGTAAAGAAGTTAATTCACGAGGATCAAGTTTCATTTCACGTTTACTCGAGTGGCGAGAGTTATCAGCGTGGGAACGAGGCTTTATCGTTCTACGTACGTACAGGACGCATGCGAATTGGAAAACGGTCGAACAGGGAAAAGGGATAAAAGAATGCGTCGCGTATCTATCGTTTCACGGAATGGGTGTGAGTTTATATATAGGATATGCTTTGGAAATGGGTGTGGGCGAATCTCGGTATCATATCTTGCTTCAAGCCTGATATATATATATATATTTCGAACGAATCATGGAGAAGAAAAAGAAACACTACTCATTTAAATAATATATCATAAAATTAACATCCTTAGCCGATCCTGATATCATCATCAGAATAATTCGATGATACAATACCGAATGGAATTGATTGCGAGGAGTGTTGCAAAAAAGAGCAGTTACAAAATGGAAAAAGAGAGTGTGTGGATCGGGGCGTGACGAAGCGATAAAGCTTTAGACAGAATTTAACGGGGAGAATTTTCGACGAACACCCTTCCTTCCCCCCGTGACATCTGCGACCAAGAAATGGCCGGCGCCCGATGTCGTTTTCCCCGCCGCGTAAAACGCTCGACAGTCAAATTAATTGAAAGTTTTAAGGTAATTGGAATCGATAACGGCGAGGTGAATAAGAGCCACCCTCGCCGCCAAACTCTCCCCCTCCCGAAGGGGTGGTCGGTTGAAGGGTTCACCGGAGGAGGAAGTCGTTCTTGTTTCCTCGTCCGTGCCTTCGAGGAAGTCGAAAAGAGAGACGACCAAGGGGAACGGAACGGCCCTCCCTGTCATATTCCTCTCCTTAAGTACGGATCCACCCCCTCCTCCTCCCACGGCTACCACCTCCGATATTGTATATTCCGGGGAAATGGGGAAGGGGGTGGGGGTCGATTAGGTCCACTTTAATATCCCGCCACCATCCAATCGGTCTAATTGGAGTCGAACCTACGAATTTCATTGGCGGGGGAGGGGGGAGGGTGATGCGGTCCGCCGGATCGTAATGTTCTTAATACGCGTATGCGAGGTGGGCCGAGAAGGGAGATTTCGTGGAAGGGAAAGGAAAGGGAATTTTATTTGAATTCGGAGAATTTGGAGAAATCCTGGAGGAATCGAAAATTGTAAGTAAGCTTCCCTTAATCTTCTTAATTTCGAATTAGAAACAGATGTCTGAAGATCGACAATTCTAATTTTCGTGGAGAAAGAACGGAGGAGGATTAATCAATGAATTCGAGAGGAATTCGCTTCCCGTAAGGTGAATAATATTCGCGCGAATTACGCCTTTATGCACGGCGAGGGGGAGGGGGAGAATAATCGAGGGGAGGGCGAAGGGGATCGTTACTTACGCGTCATGAACCCTCTTAGCGATTCCTCCCCCCCTCTCCCCCGATAGCACGCGAAAGAATAGCCCCGATTTTCGGCCACAATTTTCTTCCTTCCAGCAAATTAATCTAGCTTTTACCGTAGCTGATACCGTCTCGAACATTAAACGCGGGACGGTAGACGTACGAAACGGGCAATAGCCCCTTGTTCCGCCCCCTTTTATACCTCCGGCTCCTCGAAAAATGAGCCTTTATTTCATCGGTGGAGTGTAAGGAGAAAGAGAGAGAAAGAGAGACGGCCACCTAAACGGCACGAGAAACGAAAAAGAGAGAGAGAGAGAGAGAGAGAGAAAAAGAGAAAAGGATAGGGAGACTCTCCTCTTATAGAGAGAAGACGGTACCCCACAGTCGGAGCAAACTCCCGTCCACCTAATGCAATGGTTTATTGCTAATATTTCTTCACGAGTAATATCGGTTCGCGCCTCTTCGGCTACAAGTTTCTCTTATATTCCGACGCGGAGGGCGGCGAGCGAACATCCTACGCCCTATTTACATTCTTCGGTTCTTTTACACCCAGCTGATTTCCGAAAAAAAAAGAGAAACAAAAAAAGATCGAGTCGAGATGAAAGTATTAAAACTCGTTTTGGGGGATCTCGTTTCATATTCCAAGTATACCTATTATCTTATTTTTTTAACGTATGGCAAAGTAGTTTGGTTTTAGGTTAAAACTTTATGAAAGTTAAAGGAATTGTTAACAAAATCTGAAAAAGTACGTCACGTATATACATATAGTGACAAATATTAGAAAGAGAGCTAAAATGTGCAAATTCTCGTCAGAAAGGAAAGAAAGAAATCTACTCGAGAAAATTCTACGCGTGGAAAAATGGTGGAAGATCAACAGCAAAAGAAGAAAAAGAATGGAATAACCGTAACCGAGGAGTGGAGCAGTGATCAGGTACAAACGAGTACACGTTGCAGAAGCAGAGAGGGAGATTAAACGTGGACCGGCATAGACGTGGTGTTCTATTCGGGCGAAACGATTAAACGTAACGAGTGCCACTATTGAGTAAGAACGTGCGAGCTGCAAACGAGGCAAAGAGACGGGCGAGGGATCGGCGGACAACGCGGCCTTTCAGCCGGGCCTCCACCGACATTAATAGCTTCCAGAATTAAACGACGACTCGGCCAACGTGGCCCGACGACTCACGTACCGACGTATACGTCATTGTCGACGGTGACGCGCGCCATCGTCGTACGCCTCTCTCTATCGTCCGCCCGACCGACAGTAAGAATAATCTAACCGTTTAATCATCGAACTTCATTTCTGCAAACTGTGCAACAGAGAGAGAGAGAGAGTAAACGATAAATACACGAAGGAGAAACGATAATGCGCCGAAAGAACAATTATTTGGATTATTTGGAGAGAGTGATGATTGGAGGGATTACGGAAAAATCGTATTTTGTTAAATTTTTCTTTTCTTTCTGTGACTCTTGTGTATGTTTGCGTGTGTGATCATCGAAATAAATTTGAAGGTCTTTTTAATGGGAAGAAAAGAATATTTAAAGAAGTAATGGGCGAGATTGTAAAAGGTGGTTTTGAACTTGTATAATTAAAAATTGATAATTAGGAAAGTTTGTAAAATTGCTTATTCATTAATTAATGATAATATTATTTTCCTTATTTTGTTTCAACTTTTTATCTCTTTATTATCTCTTTAATATTTCTAAATGTACTTTCAACGGTGTATTTCAAGCTATTGGCGCATTGTGTTTCCAGTTTTGAGTAAAGAAATATCGATCTCGCCAACTCTTAAATTCATTATCCAGTGAAATGTCCATTTGAGAGATAATCACACTTATGAATTAAACTTACGTTTTTCTCTTACTTATCTATTATATCTATAACATGAAAATTGATTTAAAAATTTTGCCCAAACCAAAGAAAAATATTCCACCACCAATTTTATCTTCAAAAATCGAAAATCCATTCCAAACTAAAAAGAAAAAAAATCCATTCTCTACTCCATAAAATAATCCTCTTCTTCAAACTCGACGATTAAGAATATCGAAACTCTGAAACGACCTTCCACGAAGAAAATAGCAACGATCGATCGCGCGCCTCCTGTTTCATCTAATCACAAGCGGCACACGCGTTCTTCACGCGTGTCGTTTCGCGTTCCCAAAGTTCCCTCCTCCCCTCTTCCCTTAAACTCTGTCGTAACTATTACCAAGAGAGGGGAAAAAAAAAAAAAAAAAAAAAGATTTCCAATTTTCGCGCGAGAATATCCCCCACCCTTCTTCGAGAAATCGTTCCTGATCCATCAAACTCGTCCACCGTAAGTTTTTCATCCCCTCCCCTCCCCTCCTGTTGAGTAATTGTCGCTATTAATAACTGCAAATTCAATCCCCCACGGATCCAATATCCATCGGCCGGATCGGCCGCGCCCCGTTCGTATCTCCTTCTCCTCCTGTGTGTACCTCCCCCTCCCCCTCCCCCCCCTCCAGCAGTAGTTGCTCCTCCGGAAGAAATTTATAGCGGCGACAGCTTTATTAGAAGTCGTCCCTAGTCGTTACGCGAAATTGAAAGTCAGGGGGGAAATGGAGGGCGTCAATCCCATACCGGAGGAACAAATATTTAGAAATATGAAAAATCGTGGAATCGTGGATTTGCATGGATAACGATGGGGTAACGAGGGATCGAATTAGGAAAGAATTTCATCGAAAAATCTAATCTGACACGATTGGATCGGACAGTTAAATCGGTTAAATCGTAGTTGATGGCGCGTCGTCACATCAACGTGGATCGCAGGTGTTGTTCAATGAATGAAGAAAAAGGAACGAAACAGATCCGACATATCGGTGGTTACGATCTTCGAAACTTTGGAACACGATGATCCCTCGTAATTACTGGTCAACCCCCTTCCCCTCGTCCCCCTGCCGATAGGATGCAATTGATACGAATACGAACGAAAAAATAATTTTACGAGAACTGAACAAAAAGAGATCAATTTTGTTGGATAATTACAATCGCCTTACGCGTCTTGAATTTCGAATTGGATCGTCTTCGATATCGAAAGATTTTATAACACGCACGGATAGATATAGATATACATATATATATATGGTGGCAAGCTCGTGTACGCTGGTTAGAATAAGGACGACGCTTAGCAGCCACGTAGGATAGGCAAAAAGCGGATAATGTTACACGGGAAGAGGAGGGGAGGGGAGGAGTGAAGTGTGAACTCGATTATACAATGGTTAGTTACCTTGATACTGTCGTAGCAAGCGGTGACCCGTCCGTTCTGCACCTCGACGTTAGCCGGTGGATGGGCGAACTTGCACTCCGTGTCGGGCCTGGTGCACTTGTTGCGCTGGAACTCTCTGCAAACCTCTAGCTGCAGCCACCGGGAGTCCTTGCCGTTCAGCAGGTTATTCATGTTGACCATTGCCATAATTCCAAGTCCTGGAAGACCGTGGGACTTATAACTTCCTCTTCGAAGCGAAGGATAACACAAAAGTCCGGCTATTCGACCCGACTTTTCAACTTTATCTCTCCTCTTCCTCTCGATCCCCACGTAGCCTGTTCACGGTCGCGTTCACTCGCACCGTCTGATCGCAGCCAAGGATACAATTGTTTTTTTTTCTTTATTGAGACCGGCCCACCAAACTCATTGGCACTTGGGGGAATCTCCCGTCGAACTGTGGAGAAAACGCGCGAACCATCCGTCTCATTCGCGCCTCTGCCTACTCGATCCGTTTCCGCTTTCGATCAAACCGCTCTCGGCCTCCCCTCCCCCCCTCTCTCGTTCCATTCACGCGTCCAGCCAGCGGACGGATCGTGACCCGGCACGAGCGTCCGCTCCTCCTTTGTCTTCGTACCGAATGATACCCGGTCGATCCAACAATTTCCTACTTTATCGATAGATCGATAGGGGAGAAGATACGAGAAGAACCGCGAACGGACGCTCGGCCGGATACGTAAGAGACACGCATTCGTTCGACAAGCATTCGTAAAACCCCCCCGGGGTCCATTCACACCGAAGGTCCGCTCATCGAAATCCCCCCAAGTGCCTCGAGTATTTTTCTGATACTATGATAAATATGGTAGGTACCTTTTTCGAGCAAGAAGCGTTTCTTTGAGTAGGAGCGAGGAGTAACTTATTGTCCCATGAACGGGTCCCAAGTGGCGAGTCTGCAGATCTTCGATCTTTTTCTATCTTCCGTGTAGAGTTTCTCTATCCTCGGACCTCCCTTTTCTATCTTCCGTGGTGGGTGCGAATCGCGGTAGGAAAAAAAAAAAAAAAGAACACGCGGCAAAGAACCGTGCCGAAGATCCGACTTATCCTCTCTAACTCGCCCGAGTTTTACGAAAAACCCTCTCGGTCCTCTCTCTTCCTCTTAATTTTCCTTCTTTTTTTTTTTTAATTCGCCCCGCTACCTTCGTTGTCGCGTATTATCAATATTATTATTAATGTTATTATAATATATTATCGAACACCCGTCCCGTGTGTACGTGTAAAGGCTTGCTACGATTGTCACCGGCAAATGTACGTACGGCCAATTCTCTATACTATTTTTAGACGATCATATACACACACACACACCGTTATCGCCTCGGTTGCTCTTTATCAAACACCACTCGTTATCGATCGAAGCCGTTTAGTCGGGTGAGAGACCGGTGTGCGCGGCTCTTAGCGCTGTTTGCCGGTTAAGCTTGTGTTAAGCGTGGTTAACGTGGAGAAAGAGAGCTTCCTTTCTTTTCCCTTTCCTTCTTTTTCTCTATCCTTTCTCTATCCTCGCCACCGACTTTTTCCAGGTGGAGAAGGTGTTCGCAGAGAAGGTGGTCGCGTCTCGAGTCCTCGAGGTGCGAGGTTGGAGATCGGTGCGACGGGGGGAATTTGCGGTAGCGATTGGCGAAAGAGGAAGAAGAATTCTCGCGGTGTTGGTGAGAAGAAAGTGAAGAAACAGGAGTAACAAACGACCAAACAAACGTACGTTCTTTTTCTTTCTTTCTCTTTTCTACGTATGTATATATTATATATATATATATATTATATTGTCAACGATTAGGCTTCGTGGATTCGTTTAGGCGATGCTGTTGTTATTATTATTGTTGTTGTTGCTGCCGCTGTTGTTGTTGTTGTTGTTGTTGTCGAGCCTTTTTTCCGATCTCCGCTTTCTTTCTTTCTCTTTGGAGGTAATATAGGCGTGGTAGTAATAATCCTTCGATCCTTCCTTCGATCCTCCTTTTATCCTCGCGCGATGCACTCGGACAGCTTTATAGAGGGCGCGCGCTTTAGCAACCAGAGCGGTGGTACAGTTGGGCAAAAAAGCTTGAAAGCCTTCCGAGAGAGAGAAGCTGAACGTCGACCACGGAGGATGTATATGCGTGTATACGTATGTGTTTATATGTATGTACGTGTGTGTGTGTGTGTCGTGCTGCTCTCTTAGGCGCGTTTACTCTTTCATTTATCGAATAATTATAGATGTACAATATATATATATATACATATATATATGTAGGCTGACTGTTGCTGCTGTTGCTGCTGCTCGACTTTTGTTACATATACACGCGTATATATATATATATATATATATATGCGTCTCAAAAAGCCGGTCGTGGTGTCCTTCAAGCCGGTTCTCAAGCTAACGCGTGGTGTCTCGTGGTACTCTACTACGAGGACGAGGATGGACGACTCCGGGGAGAGGTAGTAGTAGTAATAGTAACAGTAGTAGTAATAGTAGTAGTAGTAGTAGTTGTAGTGGTAGTAACTAGTAGTAACTAGTAGTAGCGGTAGGCCGTAAGAGAAGAAGGTTGATTCCGGAGGTGAGGTAGCGTGAGGCTCTCTCTCGAATCGGGAGGAGGGGGGGGAGAAAGAGGGTGACCTGAACTGTAGCTCTTCGAGGAAGAAGTGGCAGAAGAGAAAGGAGAAGCGGAAGGAGGGACGAGAGACGCGGCTTTACTCGTGAGGTAGGTAGGTAGGTAGGTATAAGGTGGGGTCGTCTCTCGTCGGCGGGCGAGAGAGACGCACAGAGTCGGGGAGAGGTTTTTCGGGAGAGTAAGCGCGAGAGAAGGCGAGAGTAAGTGGGCGACGTAAGTAAGCGGGGGGCGGAGAAGAGGCGGCGGGGGGGAGGCAGACAGGGGGTCCGGTTGCGTGGATCGGGGATCGTGGATCGTAAGTGGTTCCGGGGTCAGAGGCGGTGGCGTGCCGAAGGGGGAGGTGTGGGGGAGGTGTGAGAAGGGGCGGGCGGGGGAGGGCGGGGCAGGAGAGACGTGGAAACGATGGAAAAGTGAGGATAGATGGATAGAGAGAGAGAGAGAGAGAGAGGGGGGAGGAGAGAGAGAGAGAGAGAGAGAGAAGAGGGAGGGAGAGGAGGTTCGGAGGAGGGAGAGGGGGAATTGCGAGTTAGCGAGTGACGTTGCGTTTCCGTTCCTCGGATTTACGTCATTTATTCGGCGCACTCCTGGTTCCTCCCGCGGTCGAACTCCGGATTCTGCTGTTCTGGAAACATACCAAAAGCGAAAACTCGCGTTACTGCGGATGCAAAGGCTTAAAATGCTTGTTCTTGTTTTCTCGGGGCGGGGGGAGGGCGACTGGTTGGTACGTACGTTGGTGGTGGTGGTGGTGGTGGTGGTGGTGGTGGGACGAGACGATGATGAACCGGACTCGATGAAAGGTTCGAAAGAGAGAGAGAGAGAGAGAGAGAGAGAGAGAGAGAGAAAGGGAGAAAGAGAGAGAGAAAGAGATATGGACGACAGATAAAGAGGGAAGAGACTGTAAGTACGTGTACTAGTACAGTGACTCGTGAAAGCATATCGTGAATAACGGTTATTATAGAAAACTTTTTTTTATGTAATCAAAAGTGGAATCAAAAGTACGTACACATCCTTCCGAGGATGTGTTTCATCTCTGCGTTTAATCTTCCATTTCGTTCCAAATACTTTCACGGATCGGCTGTATACTACCCTTCTTAATTAAAATATCTCATCCAGCATTTTATCATCGTACTTGAGAGACACGATGAAACAAATGATACACGATGATGACGCGATAAAATGTACGGTTGCGAATTCATTGATTAATACTCTTTTGCGAGTTAGAACTGTTGAGAATCATTTTTCAATTAGAGTTAGAGTCCGTTAACCATTAATTATTGTTTTTAGTCACGGTCACTTCGAATGAGACTCGCGTCCTTCCGACTCGCAAAAGCGTATTCCCGACGATTATACCCGTTTCGTATACACTTTGAATCACATTCGTATCTAAATTTATTCCCGTTGAAAGAAAAAAAAAAATTCGACTTTTCGAAGAACGGTTTCAAAATGCCAGATGAGAAATTTGAACTTGAATTAAGGAAAGCAGTATGGGGGTAAAGGGTGGGTGGGGGGGGGGG